TATTTTGATTTTCTGTGGAATCCAGGGGTGTAATTCTAGGTTTTGCTAGCCTCTGAGCTCTGGCTGCTGCCAAAGACATGCAGTCTTGTCTTCCTCTGGTTGCAAGTGTTTGTATACCCTTGTGGGAAACTGTACTGGGGAGCCAATATAACTTTAAAATAAGTAGCTGTAATTATTTTTATTTGTTTTGTCAATGGGTTAGATTTAAATAGTTCCCTAGTCTGCCGAGAATCAAGCAGGGCATGGTAGGACCTCTGCTTTCAGGATGGTGTGGATTAGGGCATTTGAAAGTGTTTACACAAAACAATCTTTTGTCACTGTACTTCCAAAAGATCCTAATAACTTGACCTTATTTGTGAAGTGTCAGACCAAAATTCATGACTTTGACATGTGATCTCTGTAAGACTGCTGTGCAGCTGGATTTACTGCTCTGTTTAAAAATACTTCATCCGCTAAACAAGATGTTCTGTAACCATGTATTGTTCCCGTTTTCGGCTCTGAAATTCAACTATTTGTGGATTATTATTTTTTTTTTTCAATCTGGCCAGGTCATAATCGCAAACCTAAGAGGGTTTTTTTGAAGAGTTTTAATTTCTCTGCTCACTTGAGACTTAAATTGCTACAAAAATACATCTTTTCTTTGAAAAGTTTTCATATTTAGTGTCAGATGATATAATTAGTAAAAAAATTTTTTAATATAAAATCTGAGTAATGTGATTGCTTGCCAAGTTTTTTGGATACAAAATATCATAGCTGCATTCATTCTTTGTTTTTGCACAGCTGATAAGTTGTACTTTAGTAAAATGGAAATCAGAACTGTTACAGACATTCGTTCTCCAAAGTTGATTTCTCTTTACATTGCAGAGAACTCGCAAAATGATGATTGGCTGCTTACAGTAATTGCTTTAAAATCCATGATATGCTTTATGTGTCCTTTGGAGGAAAAAGAATATGATTTATATGTAATAGAATTTTTCAGATTTCTAATTGGTAATATTCTGCTGATCTTGGTTTTTGTAGGAGAGCTTTGTCTTCATTCTTACCCAAGCTTTCTGTCCAGTTGCTTCAGTAGGTCCTCATCGGTGTTTATTTTAGGTACTATAAAGCAATTTAGTTTTCTCTTGCTGCTTACATGGGTATCCTGAGGCAAGATGGAGTGGAATATGGAATGTTTTAACCAGATCTTTCTTCCATGTTTTCAGTTTTTGCAGCCCTTCAGAGTAAGTGGTGAGCAGGTATATGGGTTATGGGACTGAAAGGAATTTCTCTAGCAGCATTGCTGCTAAAGAAAACTTACCCATAATTAAACTGCACGATTCCATAGTTGCTTAAATTTAAGATCAAATATGGCTTATCACCACAACTTTAATCCCAAGTGCTGTTGATTAACAGCTGTTGTGGCAGCAACAGAAACACACTTCATTTTCAACTGTCATTCCAGTTTTGACCTACTTCTATATTAACTCTGGTTCCCATTATTTGTTCTAAGTAATACAAATGGAAGATGACTGTTGCTTAGAAGTGAATTTCTGTGCAATTGATTCTATGCTTTTTCTTTTTTTTTCCCCACACAGGTGTGGAAAAATGGCAAAGAGAATTGCAGAGAAGGAACTGACTGACAGAAACTGGGATCAGGAGGATGAAGCTGAAGAGGTAAGATACACATTAGATCCTGCTCCCACCCCACCCCTGCAGGCAGTAGGGTAGTTATTTACATGTGCTATTTATCTTGTGGGTGAAATCTACAGTAAAATTGGTTGCAAGTGTAGCAATTAAAGATAATTTTTTATAAGTGATTTCTTTTCTTTTTATAAAGCGTCTAATATATGCAGACCATATGGCAAAGCAGCTTTTAACAGTTAAAATGACATCAGCAGCTCAGGGGAAAGGAACTTTACGTTTCTAAAGGGAATCCCAGGCTTGTTAAAATGCATAATGCTTTTGAACTCTTCAAATGTGTGATGGGTATTTACTGAGTTCACAAGAAAAGTGGTTTTGATTTCTTGAGATAAGTTTTCTTCATGTCTCATGTCTTTTTTTTTAAAGGTCAGTAATAGTTAATTTCAGAAATACGATAATTTGGAGCACTTAGCCGAATGTCCCTACACAGCCAGAGGAATTAAGCAAACAGTCAAATGATATGTTTCATCTGATTGTAAAAAGATATTTTCACATTTAGCGTCTTGTACTTGCTTATGGCTCATATATTATCTCTAAACAAACTGTGCTAGCTTCTGTACTGCTAAAACTATTAAATGTTAGGCCTATAAAATGTGAGAAGGAGAACTGACAGTAGACTTCCAGAAATTTGAATATAAGAAAACTTAATTTCTTCACTTATTACAGGGTAGTAATTAGTCATTAGCTGCCTTTGCTAATACTTGAACTACAGCAGACTGCAGAAGGTTGACTTACAGCATACATCTTAATATACCTTCTCCAAACTGAAAATTGTTTATAACAGTGCAATACTGACAGATTACCTTCAGCAAAGGCATCTCATGTCTTTGTTTAAAAAACAAAAATTAAAAAAAAATCCTGAATTATTGTTGTAGCAAAATTGAGATTGCATGAAGGGAAATGTAATGCAGAACAATAAAGACAAGAGGTTTGAAAGTATCAACTAATATCCAAGTAGCTGGCAAGCTAATCACAGTACTATATTTTTTTTTTTTATGTCTTCCCTTACTTGTTAGGGAGCAGTGTTATTTACATTTGTGTTCAAAAACTGATCTCAGCCATCTCTTCAGATGTGATGATTTTATGCCTTTCAAGAATTTCATTAATGAGTCTATAACTTCCTCTTAAAGGTGGGAACATTCTCAGTAGCCAGTGAAGAAGTCCTGAAGAACAGAGCTATTAAAAAAGCAAAGCGACGAAACATTGGATCAGAGGTAATGTAATCACTGAGCATTAGTCTTGTAGTTTGAGTCAGCTGCAAAATACGACATCCGTGCTCAGGTTTTTACTTATTTTGGCTTGTAATAATACCGTATAAAGCTATCGTGTAGAATGTATATGTAGCTAGTCAGCTCATACATGCAAATTAATTTTCGCTTACTGTTCCGTAGCAAGAGTAAGGCTAGAATGAAAAATGGGTAATGCTAGTACTGACTGGGTGAAGAGAGATGCGTAATTTTGAAGTATAAATGCAAAGTGTTTCAGACACGATGTCATCTACAGATGTAAAACAGCATTCGAACTGCTCCAGTTTCATTTTTTGCAGAGATGGAAGCCTGGAAATCAAAAGTTATTAGTTACCCATACTGGAGGGCTGGGGGATGTTTCAGAGGCTAAATAAGTAAAAGCCAAAATACTAAGCTGTTCTGAGAATGAAAAACTTGTCTTTTTTTAAGAATGCTGCTACTTCCCCCCACCCCTGCTGTGAAGAGCTTTAGTGCCACCTACTCTTTGCAATAACAAATTGAAAATTGAAAGGAAGTTGGCCTTTGTGACGGGTTTATTCCCTGTGAAAGTATTAACCCAGTCCAACCAAACTGTAGTGCTTTCAAAAATGCCTGACAGATGCTTTGTCATATATATCTTTCTGTGAAACATTCTTTGAACAGGGCATGTGCCATGTTTGAAATAGAACAGAAACTTTACCTATCACTCAAATTGCTTTTGGAGTGAATGGGACTAGGCATAATTAGGGGCTAGATAGTTTTCTCCTGTGCTTTTGATTTTCCTTCTGCTGTCCAAGCAATGTAAATGAGGAAGCTGTCCTATCCCCCTTTGGCGTATAGTAGTTTTAACCACAGATGTGGTAGAGAATGCAGTTAACTAAAGGATTGTACTGGGAAGAGGTGATGCAAGAAATAAACCACAACTTGAACAGGAGGGATTCGGGGGCAAATGGAATGGGAAAACCAGAACTGACTGAGAAGGGGGACCAGGTGATTGTAGCAGAAATTGTCAGGAGGCTGGGAGTCAGCTGTTGGAGATGAAAGCTGGAAGAAGAGCTAGGATAGGCTGGGCGAAGTCCAAAAAGCAGAACTCATGGCAGGACACCTCAGGCTGCATAAGAAACCAGTGAAATATTTACAAAAAGGTAAACTTGAAATTTACCGATGTTCCTAAATGGAGCGAGCAGAATGCTGCAAAGAAAAAGACTGCAGTTCAACTTGCATGTCCAGAGGGGGAGGTAGGTAGGATTGATCAAAGAGAGACAGAATAAAAATAGCTACCCAGAAATGAGAAACAGAGGACTGCACTGGAAAAGGTAAAGCACAAAGGGAAACAAAAAGAGCCTATACCCACAAGGCCAGATACTGGAATAGAACCTAAAATTGGTAAGTTTTGCTATTTCTTCAGTGGCAAAAGTAGATGAAACTCAGAAGCAATTCTCCTTTTCCTCTGATGGCTTTCCAGAGACACTGAAAGTCTACTTCCAGTAATAAGTGCTCATTACCTCAAAAGACGGTATATGTAGTACCTAAAAGTGGCAGTGCTTCTTTGTGTGTTAATCACACTATATCTTTTAAGAACATGTAAGAAACCATACCATAAAGTTATATGGTTGTAAAGATAGTGTTCAGAACTAGGGAATTGTTGTGGTTTACCCCCAGCCAGCAACTAAGCACCACTCAGCCACTTGCTCACTCCTCCCCGCTTCCAGTGGGATGGGGAGGAGAATTGGAAAAAAAAAAAAAAAAGAAAAAAAAGAAAAAAGATGAAAAGCAATGTAACAAAAAAAAAAAAAGAGAGAGAAATGTCTCTTCTTGGGGGGCAAGTGATGCACAGTGCAGTTGCTTGTCACCCGCTGACTGATGCCCGAGCAGCGATCCACCCCTCCCAGCCAGCTCCCCCCAGTTTATATACTGAGCATGACGTTCTGTGGTGTGGAATATCCCTTTGGCTAGTTCGGGTCAGCTGTCCTGGCCGTGCTCCCTCCCAGCTTCTTGTACACCTGCTTGCTGGCAGAGCATGGGAACCTGAAAAACCCTTAACTTAAGATAAGCGCTACTTAGCACCAACTAAAACATCAGTGTGTTACCAACATTGTTGTCACACTAAATCCAAAACACACTGTACCAGCCACTAAGAAGAAAATTAACCCAGCTGAAACCAGGACAGTAAGGAAAAGGCTGCAGAAAGTGTACATATTACGTTATCAAGTACAGTCTATCTTTGCTTCTTCCATCAATCACATTGGAATATTTTGGGTAAATCACTTAAACGTTACATAGGTGACTACAAAGTATGCTGTTTTGATGAGTGGCTTGAAGTGTTGGACTCTTAATTGCGGTTGTAAATGCTAAAAGTTGCTGAAAATAGGACTGAAATTATGTATTGCTATGTAATTATTTAAAGAAAACAAGATGCTATGAATGTCTAAATAGGTAGTCAAACACATCTGCTGCTCTGAACAAGTTTTATGTATCCAATTCCTAGATCTAGTTTATTTTCATACCAAACATCCGAGTCCTTTAAAAATAGTAGCAATATGTGTCATAAGGAAGCTATTAACTTGGTTTACATAGCTGACTTAATAATGTATGAAATGACACACCGAACCAGGGTAAAACAAATGGAATATCAAGTGGGGATAGGATTTTTGTGGATAACATGTATGTAACTGGTTGTCTTTTTCTGCCCCCCCCCCCA